CTTCGTCAATAAAGCACAGTAATATTTTGAATTAATGGCTGAACCCTGTTGGAGATCATCCACCAGCAGAGTTCCCTTCTTATTCCAAAAAAACTGTTGCTATTTGCTTCTGCACGACCTTTGCACTTGGAACTTCTTTGGCCTGGGGGGACCACTGTGCCTCCATTCCTTAGACTGTTCCTTTGTCTCAGGATCATAACAGTAGATCCATGTCACATCACCAGTTACCAGTTTGCCCAGGAAATCTGACTCATTTCTTGCAAAAGGTTCCAAAACAGCCACCAATGACTCCACACGTTTCCTCTTTTGTTCAGTTGTCAAAAGTTTGGGGATCCACTTTGCTGCCAGCTTTCTCATTTCCAAGTCGTGGTGGATAATGGCACCAACTCTCGCACGGGATATTCCCAAATATGGAGCAATACTTTTGGCTGATATTCGGCGGTCCTTCCTCCATGATCATGTCATGGATGGCGTTCTCATTTGCAGGCACAAAGACAGAAACAGGCCTTCCACTGGGTTTCTCACTTTCAACACCGAAATGGCCAGTTTTAAAACCGACAACCTAATGTTTAACTGTTGCATATGAAGGGCCACTGTCGCCCATAGTTTGTGACATTTCATTATGGAGTAGAGTCTATGTGCCACATATAGAAAACTCCGGGTTCAATCCCACCCAGACTCTTTCCAGCTCAAAAGAACCAGGCAGGAGATGTTCGGAAGGAAACGCCCCACCTGGACCTTGGCGGGCTGTCGTCAATCCAGGAGGAGCGACCTGGACGGACAAACACTCTGAACCGGCAGGTATTGCCGAGGGCTGTGTCCCAACCTTGTGAACTTTGTCTTCCCTCTGGATCGGTGTGGTTGCTGTTGTCGGCACGGGTCGTCAAGAGAATCCTGCTTTCTCAGGGTTTGTCCAAAATACAAGAGCCTCATTTCATCTTTTTTGGCCTCCAGAGAGAGTTCCGGTTTGATTTGATTTACGTAGGATCCGCTTGTTTACGTAGGATCTCGGAACAGTGTCCCATGTGGCTGAGAAGGCCAATTCGAGAGTGAGTTTGATTTGATTTAGGATCCGCTTGTTCGTCTTTTGGGTGGTTCAGCGTCTCCAGAATGCTCTCCTCCAGCACCACCTTTCCAAGGAATGGTGTCACTTCAGTGTTATCACCTTAATCAGTGTGATCAAGTTGGCTGATCTTCACAGGGACTCCCAGGACTCCGCCTTATGATAGCCTTCTAAAAATCAGATCCGGATCAGGTTCAAGGTTTCGACTCACGTATAAAGCTTCTCACAGTTTGGGTCCACATGACCTGTCCAAACATCTTTCTCCAAGGTCATTTGCTTAGACATACTAGATCGTCTCAGGCCACGCTCTTCTGAGCAGCCACCCTGAGAGAGGCCCGAAGGTCATCTACCAGAGGGAGGGCCTTCTCGGTGGTGGCCCAGAGGTGATAGAATCAGTTTTCGGATCTGCTACGCCTAGCCCCCGTCCTGTATTCTTTTAGGATACAGTTGAAAACAGGGAAGCTTTTCAATCTGACCCGGGCTGAGCATTTTGCATTAGATTAGGCCTCCTTCAGTCTTTCGAGAGGATGGTCACGTGCTCTGAATAGAGATCTCGGAACAGCGTCCCATGTGGCTGAGGAGACCAATTCGAGAGTGACACAATCTCTTCCACACTGAAGACAAATCCAATCTGTCCCCTGTCCAGCTCCCTGGTTTTGCTTCCTTTGTGACTTCCTCTTTGCCTCAGCCTGCTGGACAAGGGTCTCTTCAAATTGGGAGAGGCCGTAATGTACTGCCTGCCTCCAGGCTGAACGATCAGATGTCAGAGTTTCCCATCTGTTGAGGTCTATTCCTAAGGCCTTCAGATCCCACTTGCAGATATCCTTGTATCGCAGCTGTGGTCTCCCTCTGGGGCGCTTTCCCTGCACTAATTCTCCATACAGGAGATCCTTTGGAATCCGACCGTCAGCCATTCTCACGACATGCCCGAGCCAACGTAGACGGCGCTGTTTCATTTTGCATCCAGTTCTGCTTTTTGTGATAATTTGTTGGGCACCACTAGATATTTTAAAAAACACTTTTGCCACATTTCTGCCATTGGTTTCATATTTTAATGTTTTTGTTGAAGTCTTGGTTTTTATTCCTTTGTAAACCGTCCAGAATAGTGCTTCGACACTAATAAGGTGGCATATAAATTAAAGTAACAAAACAAACAAACACTGTAATAAGGAGACACAAGGCCAGCAGACTTCCATCTGCTTCTGGGCCTTGGAAATGAGTTGTTGCTGTCTACAGTTGCTCAAGCGCCGTCTCTCTGCCCCATCATCTCCTTCATTGAATAGCTCCAGTGACCTTTCCTACAGTCTCCTGTTGCATGGAGCAGCCGTCTTTAATTGGATTATAAACTCCTTCCTCCAGTTTTGCAGGGCAGAAAATGAATGGTGTTATTAATAATCAGCTCACCAGAACCTTGGTTGGGAGCAGCTGTTTTGGGGTGTCTCTGTGGGCTTAGCAAGCCACAAAGAGGAACAGAGGTTCCAGCCCATCTGCAGAACTGTGGATATTCTAGTTTTCCCGTCCAGGTGCCCACCAGATGCATTGGACCCTAAGTCCCAGAATTTCCTGGGCTAAATGGTTGCAACTCAGCACACCTGAGAGGCAACAGGCCAAGATGTTGCAGGCAGAAGCAGAGTTATGCTAAGCGGGGTATTATGTAAATAGTAGTTCAAAAAGGTAACCTATCCAAGCTCCATGCATAACACACATCATTGCTAGAATGCATCAATTATTTGCAGACTTTGAAAGCAAGTATATAAACCAGGGACTTTGTAGCAGTTTCTGTACCAAGAGAAACCCATGGAAATTCAACTCCATGACTTTTAATTCCTTGAACTGAAGACAGGTGCCAGGATTTAGGCTAAAAATAAAGTCTGAACATCTATAACCCCGTTTTTATATTGTGCAGCAAGACAAATCCAAATAAGGCATAAGATACGCGATTCACACCTACAGACACCTAAATGTGGCTCACCTGGAGAAAAGGCCTAGCTGGGAAGGCCTTGTTGCCCTAGCATAGGCCTAGCTTCCTGTGCAGAAAGGAAGTGCGCAACCAGCAGTGGGCCAGCTTCGTTTCCACACAGGAAGCTAGGCCTATGCTAAGTCTTGAAGCTCTCCCAGTTAGGCCTTGTCTCCAGGCGAGCCAAATTCAAGTGTCTGTAGGTCTCCATTTGTCAGGTAGAACTTCCAAAATGGAGAATTACGGTATGAGATTTACAGCACACAAACAAAAAACATTCTGAAAACAACATTCCTAAACCTTACTGATAGGTTTGAGTAAAGCAAGGGGTGGTACTTTTAAAAATGGGTGCCAGAAGAGGAAAGCCTCTAACTAGGAACACATGTTTTTTTTGCAACCTGTAAGCCCTGAAATGCAGTCTGTGACATCTCCAGTTAGATGAGTAAAAAAACTGCACCGCTGCTGCAAACGGGTTGCCTTGTTATCGCCGATCAATGATCAGAGATGACTGCGGAATGCTTTCCCAGCTGGAACCTCCCAAACCCTGTTCATGTTCACCAGTGTGATTAGAGACACAGATGGTGAATGACACAAGAACTGTGACTGATCCTGTGCAATGGTCTAGAACTCTATTGATTCTTTCCACGTGGAGAAAATGCGTGGACGGGAGCAGAGCTTCAAATTTTTTCCCTTTTCTCCAGAAAGCCATTAGCTTCCAAGTTCTGGATGAGGCCAGATGACACCAGGGGAAGGTTTGGGGGCTGAGTCTCTATCCCGTTCTAGAAAGGCAGCTGGCCCCGAGGCCCAAAATCGGTACCCACCACCACCATAACAGAGAGAATAAAACTTTTTCTCTTCCTGAGGCCCTGGAGACCTGCTGTCCATAAGGAGAGACAGAGATCACACCGGTCTTTATTTCACCCTCCTGGTGGTTGTGAAAAACAGCCACACCACAGCCTTCCCAGAAAGTTAGCTGCCCAAACCACTGTTATGGTTCAAATCCCAAGAACACACTTAGCAGCCATGATGCTCTGACAGCAAATCAGTATATTTTTATTTTCCAAGAGAGAATATAATTATGACAATGATAAACAAAACCACTTTTTTTTTAAGGGGGTGGGAGAGCCATGGCTCCATATGTTACTTCACTTTTTGGTTGAGTCTGAAAAGGCACATAAGATTTCCTACAAAGTTCCGCGTCCCATGCTCCATCCACATTCTTGAATGCTCACCCCAGCGGGAGAGCCGACTCCGAAGCGGGACTTTTTGCCACACGGGCCGGCCCGCTGTGGTTGACGTTCACCTCCCACAGCATCTCCCCCAAGGTGCAAACCAAGTGCAGCCTGAAGGGTTTCTTAGGGTTCGCCTCTCCAGCTCTCCCCAAAAAAATCCTGGGAGTTGTAGTTCGGCCAGGTTGTCAAAGAGCTCTGATACCGGTGCCAGAGCTGCAATTCTCAAGGGGAAAAGTTTGACTATAGTGTCTCTCTATAACTCAGCTGGGAAAAGTTACATTTCCTGCTATAACTCCCAGTATCCTCCCACATGATACTACCAGAACCCTCCAGATAGCCCTTAGGGTCTCCCCCTGGGCGGTGGGAGAATCCATCATCAGCTCCTAAAACCTTCTGTAAACATGGCCAGTGGCAGAATCTGGACCCCTCCCCACCAGCCTGGCAAGGGGCAACATCCCAAAATTCCCCCCTCCCATGCAACCAATAGGTGGATTCCCCTGCCACAGCCAAATCAGCAGCAACGCTCCTCCGTCTTTTTAGCACCAAATTTGGAGCTGGAGGAGGGAATCGGGGGTGGTCTCCTACCCGCCACCCATGGGGGTCACAGCTCAAAGGGGAACAGCCCACAAAGAAGGCAGTGGCCAATTGGGCACGTCTGGAGGTGGCGTTTCTCGGGTGTGACGGGAGCAACGCCGCCTTACTCTGAGACAGCCACCTCCTCTCTTCCATCCCGTCACGGCTTCACATCCTCTGTTGTTAAAACCAGCCCCACCCCACCCGGCTCAAAACACCAGGTCATACAGTCGCGGGAGAGGGATTTAAATTGACAAGGCTGAGTGATGCTACAGAACATGTTTCAGGAGTTCCTGAAAGAGACGGGAAAAGGGACAGATCCTCCCAGCGGAGGAGGCTTTTGGGAAATGAGTTCCGGTCCCCTTGGGACCCCCTTTCCACTAGCCATGGAAAAGGGAGGAAGGCACAAGGCATGGGGGGCACCACCCAATAGGGGGGGCCATTGGCACAAACACCCCACCCCACCCCGAGACCAAACCACGTCAAGCTAGAAGATCCACGCGAGCAGAAAAACAAAGTCCAAGGACTTCATTCACACGAGCTTCCGTTTTGGATAGGGCAGGAATCAGAGGTTCTATCATTAAAAAAATAAAACCAGGCATTTCTGTTGGCTGAGGGATTCTGGGTGTTGTAGTTGGGAGGGGGGAAGCTTTCATAAGTTCTGGCATGCCCCCAAAGCTACGAGGAAAAGTTTTAAGGCCACACATTTTGTTGATATCATGAAAAAAAGAGGAGAAGACCCCAAAAGGCCAGCTACACTCCCCATTTCCCTTTCATAGCAAGACTCCCACCCAAGCACACCCGCCTGGGTTTCGGCTGGGCGTCAGCACAAGGAAACCCCGTTCTCTGGTGAACCATGACCCACGGATGTTGGGGTGCGACAGGAGTTCCTCTTTGCAAACGTTTGGTCCAAACCCCTGATCCAGAGTCCACCACCTTGAGACAGACGGCGGATCCCACACGACACAGTCCTTCAAAGGAGGAGGATTCGCATTCCGGCTTTCGCCACCTGCACCCCCTCCTTCTGGGGATCTCCGGTGGATCCCTGTTCCTGTTCTGTACATTTCGGGTGGGTCAGCTCCTTTGCCCTGAAACCAAAGGCTCCCAAAACCATTGTGTCCGGAGGGATGCCCGAGGACCCTCTAATCCGGCCGTCTGCTGATGCCGGAAAGCTTTTAAAAGCCTCCAGGAAAAGAGGGGGACAGCAGCTTCTGAGGTAGTGCCCGCCACCGTCAAAACAGCTCTTAATGGTAGGAGGTCCTTCCTGGTGTTCAATGAAGAAGCAACGGTGGGTGGAAGCCCTCTGCTTCCTGAATTTGGTGGGGGGGTTCGGAAACGGATCTTTGGCACATGTGAACAGGCTTCCCTGAGAGGGAGAGGCTGACTCTCCTCCTTCCCTGATTCCAATGGAAAAGCACTTTCTCTGCCAGTTGCTGGTGAAGAGGACTCTTGTCCGGGTCAAAGGCACTCAAGAGACCAGTCCTAGATGGATGATCAAGGGCAGGAGAGAACCCCCACCCCCCCTTGCTCAGCTGGACAAGGCAGGTCAGGTCAAGACCGAATCCCCGCTCCGCTTGCTTGGCTGCCTTTGTCATCCGTAGAGACCTTCCCCTTCCTCCGCTTCCTCCTCCTCGTCTTCCACGGCCCTCCAGTCCTCGGCTTCTGGTACCACCTGGACCGGCCCCTGGTCTCCCGAAGGGACCCCCCACGAGCCCTCCGGGGCACCCCCGGCCACCAGCCATGGATGCAACAGGATTTCGCCAGCCGTCAGCCTCTCGGCGGGGTCTCTCCTCAGGAGGCAACGGATGAGGCAGCGCGCCTTTGGGGAGAGGGCCTCGGGAACAGCAAAGCGCGCTCGGCGGATCTTGCCAAACAGCGAGACCGGCTTGGTGTCTTGGAAAGGGTAGCACCCCACCAGCATGGTGTAGAGCGTCACCCCCAAGCTCCAGACGTCGGCGGCCTTTCCTGAATAGGAGGGTTTGGAGCTGAGGATTTCCGGCCCCACGTAAGCCGGGCAGCCGTGCTTGTCCTGCAAGGAATCATCGGGACCGCTCAGCACACACGAGTCCTCCAGGTTCTCCAACAGCAGCTTGGACCTGCGCAAAACAGGAGAGAAGACAAGAGCCAAAGGTTAGCAGGGGTGCGGACTGCCAAGTTGTCCTGGTAGCAGCAGCAGCCTGGGGCAGAAATCTTTCTAATTCCGCAACCAGAAGCCTCAAATTCTGCAACCACAAGGCATGCAAAGCCGATTTCTGAACAGATCTGCTTGGTTTAAGACAGTGGTTCTTAACCTTTGTTACTCAGATGTTTTTGAACTGCAACTCCCAGAAACCCCAGCCAGCACAGTTGGTGGTGAAGGCTTCTGGGAGTTGCCGTCCAAAACTCCCGAGTAACCCAAGGTTAAGAACCAGTGGTTTGCGACATGTAAGACTCCAGAAAACATTTTAAGAGAAATCAATGATTGAAAAATTATCTTTTAGCACACAGAATACCAGAATACATCGCCAGCATGCCCAAGGGATTCCAGGAAGTTCAGTCCAAACAGGTATTTTTTTCCTAGCTCTGAAACCTATGGCCCATTAATTCTGCCACAATTTTTTTAACAAAAAAGAAACACCGGTTATTTGCTCTTCATTATTCAACCTGCAATAACTCACAGCCTAACAGCACTATATTCTTAGTCACCGGCACCATCCTGAACCATTCCCTGTGTTAATTCTTAGTTTTAATTTTTTTAAAAAAATACAGTGGATGAAAACAATACAATCCACATAAATTTTAAATAATTTTTAAAAGTGGCTCGTATGAGAATGTATGCATTTTTTTAACATTAAGAATACATTCCCAGCATTGTGTCTTTTGGGAGTATTCAGTTCAAATTCTAAACTATGGTCTAGAAAGTACTAGTTTACTAAATCAAACCATTATTCACTTTAGATTAAAGAGACTGTCTACAGAGATGAAGTGAAGTTTTGTGTTAAGAAGGCTGTCGATTCCTGCTCCAGGGATGTATTCATTGACACAATGAAGAATTATTTTAAAAAGTGAAAAGGGGGAATAGAAACGAGCAACTCTAGAGACACCAAATACCACTTATCCGGAATATAATTTCCAGAATTCCTCAGCCTGCATATCCGTGGGGTAGTCCAGAAATTGTACACCAGAGTTGTACACCTTCCCGCCTCTGAACAAAAGAAAACAATAAACTAGAACGTCGTGCTTAAAAAAAGAATCCTGCAGACAGGCAGAGAGTCAGGACGAGACTGATCCCCTTGAGAAGGTGTCTCATGTCTGCTGTTACTCATTCATTCATTCATTCATTCATTCATTCATTCATTCATTCATTCATTCATTCATTCATTCATTCATCTGTTTTATGAATGGGTTGCCTTTCTCCCAATGTGATCTGTTTGTTTAAATAGGGAGTGGGGAGCCTCTAAACATGGAATTTACCTGAGGTCCCAAGCGTTACTGGTCTGCTAGAGGGCCAGATCCTGGCCCAGTCTGCTGAGCCTTGCCTTCAACGTTACCCATAGATTCCCTCCCTGATTTTCTCCCTCTGTCAAAGGCACAAAAAGAGCCAAAGGCTGGCGCAAGGTGGCTTGCTCACTCCGGCACAACACACCTTCTCCTCCTCCCCTTGTCCCCACGGACCCCTTCCTTCTCTCTGAACGGTGCCTCCCCCAGTGATGATATTGTGACTGCACGCTCCTCAGGGGCCAAGGACCTTCCTGGTTCTGCTGGGAAAAGCATGGCTCGTAAGTCATGCCGCGATGTAAACCGATGAGGATAACAGACTGTGCAACTAAGCAAAAGAACCAAGCCAGGGAGAGCCAAATGGGTAGCACAAGGTTTCCACCCTACGGAAGGGGGTGTGTGTGTTTAAGGTGCCTTCTCAGCCTCTCACCGTTCTCCATCTGTGAAGATAAACTTCCTCAGCTTGAGATCTCGGAGAACGACCCCGTGCTGGTGACAGTGGGCGACGGCACCTGCCATCTGTCGGAAAAGAGCAGCGGCCTCCGGCTCTGGCAGGCGCCTGCGCCGGCGCACATAGTTGTGCATGTCGTCTTTGGCGGGCTGGAAGAAGATGTAAATGTTCTGGTCCCCGACGATGACCTCAGCCAGGCGGGCAATGTTGGGATGCGCTGGGACGACCCCGTAAGGAGCCATCATCTCCGCGTAGCTCTTGGCTGCGTAGACCTGGAAATGGAGCCGATGAAGAAGGGAAGCGTGAGCCGAAGGAGAGAGAAAGATTACTCCAAGTGCCATTGACCCGTTTGGACCAGCTGGGAGAAGGCATCAGGGTGGCCACCACAGAACGGCTGCCACATGGGCGTGGTAGTCCGAAAATTGGGGAACTTGGCACACGAAAGGTTTGAGGCCAGATTGTTTAAGAAACTTAATGCATTAGACTTAAAATGTTGCAGGGAAATTATAAATATGATTCACTACGTTTGTCATTCACTAAATCCATTGCATCCTTAGATTGTTTCATTTAAAAAGAAATATATTAAAATATATATTTTAATATAGACTCCCTGGAAAAGACCCTGATGTTGGGAAAGTGTGAAGGCAAGAGGAGAAGGGGACGACAGAGGACGAGATGGCTGGACAGGGTCACCGAGGCTACCAACATGAATTTGACCCAACTCCGGGAGGCAGTGGAAGACAGGAGGGCCTGGCGTGCTCTGGTCCATGGGGTCACAAAGAGTCGGACACGATTTAATGA